GTACTGGTAATGGTACACACAGGATAAGTTTTAGGAGCAGGTTTTGGTTGACACTCATAGCACTCTGTTCTTCCCTTCACATGTACAGTCACCTGATTTCAAAAATTCAACAAATAAGTAGAAAGGGAAGGAAAGAACTTTCACACAGAACCATCTGCAATGAAGCATTTTGTAAAAAAAATAAAAGAACAATTGAAATAATCAAAATGACGCAGAAGTTTGAATATGTTGGTCATACGAGCTGGGTTATTTCCACCATGTGTTTCTAAAAGAAACTATAAAGTCAAAGTACATGGTACTAGAAATCTCTCTCCAAATCTACATTTAACCACACTAAAAAAGGATAGTTGAAACTATTTAACATTATGCAGGAATCACATAATGGAAGACAGAAATTCATATAGCTGACCTCGTATGATTGGAACAAGGGTAATGATGATAAGATGATGATGATGACGATTAATGCAGCATTTCTATGACACAAACTATCATAGACAAACACATAATGTAGAATATTATAGGATCCTGAGCTCATCTAGTTATCCAATAAAACACATAAAAGCTTAGACAAAGATAAGATAGTTCACTGCATGAACTCAGCTAAAGACATTCCATTTTGAAATCCTTTCTGCAACTGCTATAGGGCATTATCCAGATCAAAAACCACTACATAAGAAGCAAATAAATTATATTTCAAGACCTAAACATCTTTGACATATGAAATTGGCAATTCAATAAACCAGTTACAATTCTACAATGCTCAAGTGATCTCAGATCAACAATATACACACACACACACAACATACAAGGAACCAGAAGCATAATGGGTAGACAAAAATTTATTAGATACAACAAATTGACAGACCAAGTTCAATTAAAAAAAATTGTTTCTTGTCAGACAATTCTAAAGCAAACCTGTCCAAGGAACCCAGTCGTCCCACTTTCAATCAAGGGAACATCAGCTCCCAAGCATAGGCGATTCACATGTCGCCTCGCATCTAAGTTGTCAAGTCCATTCAAAACCACATTAAATTGCTTAAAGAAGTCCACATTGAAGTCAGAATCCTTAACATTTGCATGGTACGAAGTTATGCTTATCTCAGGCCTAAACTTTAAGACAGCTTCCCGAGCAACCTGTTAAAATATGGATGAAAAGACCATACACAGCACACCTATTCAAATTAAAAAGTATATGATATAGTAAATATACTTACTTTGGCTTTGGATTGGCCAACATGTGATTGTCGGAAGAGGAATTGTCTGTTGAGGTTACTCACTTCTATAGTGTCCATGTCGATCTGCAATTTAAGATAACCAACTGCAAAATGAATAATTACCCAAAGAAACAAAGTAAACTGGCTCATTCTTGCATATACACGGAACCGGGAAAAAAATAATGTTTTATTTATATCAATCTGAAGACCATGAATTGAAAATTAATATAGGGATCTATTCAAAGTAGTGGTAAATATATAGTTCATCTGTTTTCTAAAGTAGATATCATATACCACATCAATATTGCTAAAATATATAGTATTGCTATCTTTCCACTTATTAAACTTTCACACAAATGATAGTAGTTCCACCACATAGCATATGAAGCAATAAGAAATGAACAGCAACAAGGTACAAACTAAAGAATTAACCAGATAACACTGAAGAAAAATTAATACTTATGTGTGGGTTGAATCACTTCAGGATTCACCCTGACTAACGCTAGTCAGCTACAATACCTTACCATAAATTTAAAATATTTCACTTGTAACTGAAACGAGCAATCCAAGACAAACCCTAAGGTCCAAGCCTTAAGTAACAAGCCGCCACCAATTTGATTCCTGAAAAACTTAGAATAATTCTCTGCCAATTTGATTAGGCAGAACCTAGATTCTTCTAAGAACATCTTAATCTTATATTACTGCCTCGACAATCAAAAGCAACAAACAGCAACGACGATGATCATGAAAGAAGTACCAATACTGATTCATCATTTCATCGCTTCTCACTCTAAATTGACACATGATTACCTGTACAGAGAAGTCAATTTTTTTAAAGAAAAAAGAAGTAAATTTGGTAATAAAAGAACTCTTTTCAATAAATAAAACCCTAAAACCAACACATAAAGTTCAATCAACAAGCATAAGATGGGGAACACATAATGAAAACCCTAGAACACAAAACCCTAGTAAACCACCATAAAATAAGAAAGTAGCAGAAACCCATCCCTTAAAATTAACAACGAGAGAGAGAGAGAGAGAGAGAGAGAGAGAGAGAGAGAGAGAGAGGGGCGCACAATATGAATATCTTGGAAGCCAGAGAGAGCGAGAGTCTTGAGAAGCTCGCAGCCGATACCACCTGCCCCAACCATGAGCACTTTCGCGCCCTGCAAAAAAAAATCCAGAAATATTTTTCAAAATTAAACCCAATAAAACCCTTAAACCCACTCAGAATTCGAGCAGGGAGAGACTTTCACAGTTGGGGTTAAAGATTTTCAACAGAAATTTTGACAGTTGGGTGTTGCAACAGTACCATAACAGCGGCCAAGTGTTTCCGGGAAGCCATGAGAGTTGCGGAAGAAGAAGTAGAAGCTAGAGAGAGAAAGGGAAGGACCACAACAGTGGATTGGACTTAATATCCGAGCAAGCAAGCAATTTGTGAAAAACCAGAGAGGGAGAGAGAGAGGTCGGTGGGTAGGCTTAAGAGTTTTGATGGGTTTGTGGAGAATCGAACAGGGGACGTGGGGGGGGATCTTGGACTGTTGGGTTGCGGTCGTGAGAGGACGGCTGCTGAGGGCGCCAAAAACACAGCAAAAAAAGTGGAAATTTCACAGCCAAAAAAACCTTCCTTTCTTACTGTTCTGTCGTTTTGTGCGCGAGTCCTCTCTCTTCCTTTCCTCCTTAATTGGGGTTTTTGAGGGTTTTGACTCTTTCTGGCCTACTTTGCTATGTCTTTGGGGTAAATGGTATAAGCATTTTACTTATGCCACAAATATGAGAAGGCAAATCAGTTTATCGGGGAAGACGTTGCTTTGCTTGAGTGTTGTGTGTGCGTTACTCATGATTTGATCACGAGAAATGAGATGACAGTGCAACAAATGTGGAAGAAGATTCATGCACAATTTGTCGAGCAAATTCAAGGCACCTTTTAGACCAAGTAATCTCTATCAAGTAGGTACAAACATTTACATAAAAAGTTAAAATCTTGGCAAGAAGCCCATACAAAGTGGAAGCAAATTTATCGAAGTGACAATAATCTTGCCAACAAGGTAATAAATTAATAATTTAATTAACATGCTACTCTTATAATATATTATGTTATTTCACAGTTTTTTTTTTTTTTAGCAACTACAAGCACAAATGTGGTACAGTCTTTATAACAACAACAAACCATTCACACAACACGAATGTTAGAACGTTATAAAGCGTACTCCAAAATACAAAATTACGTCATATGTTGGATGCCTAGCACCACACATCGGATGCCCTAGGTTGTAGGCTACTGAGAATAATATTATTTTAATATCATATTAGGTTGTAATGCTATGTTTTGTTTTGTATTTGAAATTAACTATGAACTTTTTAAGTTTATTTTTAAAGAACAAACTCATAAAATTCATATTTAATTGTTGGAGTTAAAAATGGAATTAAATTATTGGAGTTAAACTTAAACATGGAATTTTAGTTTTAAAAATTAAAAAAATATATTTCTAAAAATAAAAATTCATAATTTGTACAACATGATAGAATTAAGCATGTAGAGGTTGACACGTTCTTCATTGAGGAAAAGCTAGAAGGGAAAGTAATTGAAGTTCCCCCAATCAGGACCGAGGACCAAGTGGCAAACATACTCACTAAGGCTAGCTCCAGTGAAAAATTCTCTGGATCAAGTTAGGCATGTATGGCATATATGTACCAACTTGAGGGGAGTGTTGACTTTGTATAGATTTCCTTTTATTCCGGAATTCCTATAATCTTAGGTTTCCTAATTTAGGAGATATTGTTTGTAATTATTATTTCCTTATTAAGGTTGTACATAATTTTATATACCTCAGAATGAGAAAAATACACACAACATTCAAAGCATTATCTTCTCTTACTAGGTTTGGAAGGTTAAACGTTTGGGCGTTTAATAGGACTTTCACCAATCACCAACTCAGTTTTGTGAATAATTGTTGATGACTCAAACAATTCCAAAATAATTTTGTGATATTTTTCTCAAGTTCTGGTTATGATCTTTTGCTAGGATTTAGAGCCGTTTTAATCTTTCTTTTTTTCATTTTTTTTTTCTTTGGTTCTTCTTCTTCTTCCAATGCTTTGACATATGACTAGCACTCAAAGAAACTTTTGCAATGAACAACAAAGTGAAATCTTTCATGAATCGTTCACATGTATTTGTGACCATATAAATTATCCGATTGCATCATTTCCTTCGACTATTTTCCTATTTCAATTCTATAACGTCATAGATAAAAGTCTAAACATTGGCGTCAAATATTTAAAGCGTAAATAAGCACATGGTGCAAAATACGTCTAAAAATATTTAGTTGTTTATGTCCCAGAATTCAAGAAATTGAATTAACTCAATTTCATTTCTAAAATAAACATTTAACTCTTAGATTTTGATTTTTATATTTTTAAACAAAATCTAGCAGTTAAAAAATAATACTATGTTTGGATGAAGAAAATAAACTTGAAAATTTGACAAAAACCAGAACTTATAAATCGACTCGTACAATTCTCTTGCTTGGATTCATAAACATAGAAATTTAGAGAGGAAAAAAAAAACTTGGAATTTTGGATCTTTAATTCTCAAGTTTAAATTTCGTGTAAATATGTGTCATTTCTAAAATTCTAGGAGTGAGAGTTTAAAACTAACAAATTTCGTATTAAAAGTCCATTGCTTTCTAGGTTAGTCAAATAAGAAAATTCATAAATTCTAGAAAATAAATTCCATCATTTCAATTTCTTTCATTTTAAAACTCCTTAGTAATGTTAAATTTATTCGTCCAACACATAGTGTAATCAGGATATTTCGGAGCAACCAAGAAAGTCCAGGAGAGAAAAGTAATCAGAGTAGAGCCTGTGTACCTTGGTGTGTACTGTACGGTACCTATTCCCATTCCCATTCCCATTTGCTCACTTTCCCTAACACAAAGTCAGATTTTGATTACAACCCATTCCTACATACGTTCAATGCATGCTAGATTTTGATCACAGCAACCATCTGCTGTGCTTTTGTTTCCCAGAAGAAGTCTCGGAGGTAAAGTTTCAGCCCTTTTACTTTCCTTTTCTTTCAGTGTTTTCCCTTTAGCATTTTGCATTTAGTGCTTGCTCTCTTTCCTTAAAAATAGAAAAAAATTGTGACCCAGCTACTGTTTTTAAGCGTGTTTCTACCACCAAGGTCTTTTTTTTTTTTTTGTTGGGTTTTCAAAGAGAAATCTTTCTTTAGTAATGGATTAATTTTGATATTTTTTTATTTATTATATATTTGTCTGAAATTTGTAACATTTAGAGCTAGTTGAAGATGCATGGTAGCTTTCTGCAAGTTCCAGATTCTGGGTTGTACCAAAATTGGCTCCAAATGGATGGGTTTTTGAAATTTGAATTTGTCTCTTTTGTTAATATTCTGTGTTTGCCCATAAAAAATTGCATCTATGGAATGTTGGTTTTACTACATTGCATGTGTAATTTCATTTGGGTGTCTACCAATTTTATTTGGGCAAATTTGTCTGTAGTTTATCACATTGTATGTGCTTGGTACCATCCAGCTGCTTTTACATGTTTGAATAACACTGGAAGTTATGTTAGTAGTATATGATCGAGTTGATTGTCTGGAGGAGTGATGATATCACAAGGTTGTTTTGCAGCCTCTATGGATCATCATCAAATTTTCATTGATATAGAGGATGACATTCCAAAAAACAGTACAGTAGTAGCACTGCCTGTTAGTGCCCTTAGTTCGGATGACGAAGACGAGGGAAATAGGAAAAAGCCACTTCATTTGTATCAGAAGGATGTGCTGGAGCTGGAGCCTCCTCCCCACGGTCATCAACAGGTCATGGATATGGATGATGAAAATCGTAACAATGCTACAGAAACAGCGCCGCCTGTTGTTGTCCTGGGTTCTGATGATGAAGATGAAGGAAGTAAGAGGCTAGTTCAACACCAGAAGGTTGTACTGGAGCCTGTTGGAAGATTTCTGAAGAAGAACTTGCCGGTATGTTCTTCCCCTGCATTTGAAAAACTAGAGTAGCTTGCCTAAAATTATAATGATTGACTGGTACGAGTAGCACAATTGGTTTCATTACCGTTGGTCTGATGAGTGCTAATTTAGAATGTGACACATTGTTGGATTATTACTAAAGTGAAAAGAATTTAGTAGCATAAGTCAAAACCTACCAACTCAAGAGACACCAAGTTTGGCTTGCATTTGAACTACGTACTATATCAAATTAGAAAGATCATCTAACTTGCCAAAGTATTTGGAGCAAGTGTCTATCTTACCCAATAATTGAAACTTAATTTTGTCCATGTACTACATGTTTTCATTTGAAGTTTTACATTCTCCACTCATTGTTCAAAAATATGTTCCGTATTATCCTATATGCGTGTATTGATTGGCATGGCCATCATATTCTGTTTCAGGAGTCTGTAACGGGCAAAGATCAGAGTAATGAGTTTGAAACTCTGCTTGGAGAATTCGACATTTGGATAGATAAAGATGTAGATGTTGGTGCAGCAGACGATAGGGTGATTGGTGTTTAGAACTCATTATTCAAATTGTTTTCTTTTTGAAGTGCATATTGGTTTTCATGGCCATCATCTTCTGTTTCAGGATTGTTTAGAGAGCACAGACCAGAGTGAAGAGTTGGAAACTCAACTTGGAAAGAACTGTCTTGGGATGGATAAAGATGCAAATGTTGGTACAGCAAACAATGCGGTGATTGGTCTAGAACCCATTATTCAGATTGTTTTCCTTGTTATCCATTTTGGTTCTAATGGTCATCATATTCTTTTTCAGGATTGTTTAGAGAGAGAAGAGTTGAAAACTCCACCTGGAAAAGTTGATATTTGGACAGATAAAGATGTATATATTGGTTTAGAAGACAATATGGTGATTGACCAATTTCATTTTTCAAATCATTTTCATTGTTATCATGTATCCATATTGACCGGCATGATCGTCATATTCTGTTTCAGGATTGTTCAGAGAGTAAAGATGAGAGAGAAAAGGTGAAAACTCCACCTGGAAAAATGGATATTTGGATAGATAAAGATGTATACATTGGGTCAGAAGACAATATGGTGATTGACCTGCAACTCATTTTTCAAATCATTTTCACTGTTATCGTGTGTATGCTTATGACTGGCAATGGCATGATGAATATATTTTACTGGCTCAGGATTGTGAAGAGAGCATAGGTCAGACAGAAGATTTGGGAACACTGCCTGGACAAATTGAGATTGGTATAACCGAAGATGTAGTAGAAAATATGGTGATTGGTCTACAACTTATTGTACCATTTCCTAGTTATCCTAATATGCATATGGATTGGCTTGTTGATCATATTTTAATTTTACTGGTTTCAGAAGTATGTGGCGAGCACTCAGACAGAAAAGTTGGAAACTCTGCCTGGCGAAATTGATACTGGGATAGACAAAGATATAAATGCTGGTGTAGCATTCCATATGGTGATTGGAAACGGGAACCAAAGAGCATGTGAGAAAGAGGAGTGGAATGGTCAAATTAATTACAGAGAGACTAGGGAAAATATGGAGTGGATAGCTACAAGAACAGAGGTAGGAGTTCTGGCTGATAACATGGATGCTGGGACAGACAAATTGTGATAAGGTGGTTGGGGAAGATAATCACAACACTTTCCAGTTTAAAGAACAATATCAGAAAAACGATATAGAGGAAGATGATCTAGCAGACATATGGAACGAAATGACAATGGCAATAGAATGTTCCAAGGTATCCGCATTCGATAGCTTTGAGCATACAAAAAAATTTGTCATTGATTTTGCACCAAACTTTCCATCCTTGTAGTCTCTGGTTTTTTTTTCCAAATTATATTAAATATGTGTTGCCTGATTCTTCTAGGATTTTGCTGTTGATCCTTCAGCTGATGAAACATCAGGTGAATGTGGGGAAGAATGTGATCACATTTGCATCCTGAAGGGTGATCTTGGGTTAGTTTGCCGTATCTGTGGAGTTGTCCAACAAGGAATTGAAACCACGTTTGAGTTCCAATATAGCAAGGTACTCGTGCTTTTTTCTTGTTTTCTGCAAGTTATTCCATTAGATAAGGTTTAATATGATGGGGTGGTGCTATTGACACACCCATTTTTACCTCTCACACTCCCCTCTCAATTTCCAGCCATCAAATCGAATCATTTAAAGATCAATGGATAAAAATTAACAAGGGTGTGTGGGAGGTAAAAAGTGGTGTCTGAATAGCACTACCCTATTTCATCTCAAAAAAAAATATAAAAAAAAATAAAATAGCACTACCGTATGAATGAACTAGTGAACTGGTGAACTAGTCATGGGAGGTCATTATAATAGTTCCTGAAATTAGATGCTGGATATATTTGGAAAAACTCCGGAGTCTTGAGTAGGGAGAAATAAGCCGTTCTACCTGTTAGCTGGGAAGGTATATGTACTCTGTACTAGACTATTTTATGCAGCTATTTGTTTAACATGAGTTTAATCATTAAAATATCCTTCATCCTTGTTTCTCTATTAACAGGCCAAAAGGACTAGACGAAGTTACATGTGTGAGTCGCAGAATGCTAACTATACCGAGTCAGCTCAGAATTTCTCAGTTGGAATTAAATCTACTAGGGACAATTTAACGGCAACGGAAATCTCTGCTCATCCAAGGCACCGAAATAAAATGAAACCACATCAAGTGGAGGGCTTTAACTTTCTCACTAGCAACTTGCTGGCCGATAATCCAGGGGGTTGCATTTTGGCTCATGCCCCTGGTTCTGGAAAGACGTTGATTATAAGTTTTGTTCAGAGTTTCCTGGTTTGATTTCCCCATGCTAGACCATTGATCGTCCTACCTAAAGGCATTTTGTCTACATGGAAGCAAGAGTTCCAGAAATGGCAAGTGGAGGACATTCCGTTGCATGATCTATACACTTCAAAAGCAGAGAACCGGTCTCAGCAGCTGGTTATTTTAAAGAAGTGGGTAGAGCTGAAGAGCATCCTTTTTCTTGGGTATCAACAGTTCTCCACCATAATGTGTGACAATGGGACCAGTAAAGCATCAGTTGATTGTCGAGAAATGCTGTTGAAGGTCCCTAGCATTCTGATTTTAGATGAAGGCCACACTCCAAGGAATGACGATACCAATTTGCTGCAGTCCCTTGCAAGAGTCCAAACACGTCTAAAAGTAGTCCTCTCAGGAACCCTTTATCAGAATCATGTGAAAGAAGTTTTCAATATTTTAAATCTTGTTCGTCCGAAGTTTCTGAAATTGGATACTTCCCGGGATGTGGCTAAGCGTATCATGAGCAGAGTACAAATATCAGGTGCGAGGAAACAATTAAAAACTGGTACAAATTCAGCTCTATTTGACTTGATAGAATACACTCTCCAGAAAGATGAAGACTATAAAAGGAAAGAGGCTGTCATACAAGATCTTCGAGAGATGACCAGGAAGGTCCTGCATTACTACAAAGGAGATTCTCTGGACGAACTCCCCGGTCTTGTTGATTTCACCATACTACTCAACCTTAGTTCAAGACAGGAGCTTGAAGTGAAAAAAATGAAGAAACTGGATTACTTCAAGAAAGCTTCTGTGGGTAGCCTTGTTTATATGCATCCAGAGTTGAAATCTCTTACAGAGAAATATTCATTGACTGGTGAAAAAGGCTGTGAAATTGGTAATGACAAGATGGATACAATTGTAGAAAAAATAAATGTGAAAGATGGAGTTAAAGCTAATTTCTTTCTTAGTTTACTACGCATGTGTGAATCAAGTCATGAGAAGCTGCTGGTGTTCAGCCAGTATATCCTGCCGCTGAAATTTATGGAGAGATTAGCAGTGAAGCTAAAGGGGTGGAGTCTAAACAAGGAAATTTTTGTGGTTACCGGCGATTCAAATTCAACACATAGGGAACAGTCTGTAGGAAGCTTTAACAATTCAGCCGATGCGAAAGTCTTCTTTGGCTCTATTAGAGCCTGTGGAGAAGGAATCTCTCTTGTGGGGGCTTCTCGCATCCTAATTGTTGATGTTCCATTGAACCCTTCAGTAACTCGCCAGGCAATAGGCCGGACATTTCGACCAGGACAAATGAAGAAAGTATACGTCTATAGATTGGTTGCTGCTGATTCGCCCGAAGAGGAAGGTCACTTAATCTGCTGCAGGAAGGAATTGATTTCGAAGAGGTGGTTCGAGTGGAACGAGAGCTGTGGACATCAAGACTTTGATTTGAAGACTGTTGACGTGCATGAATGTGGTGATATGTTCTTGGAAAGTCGATTGTTGCAGGAAGATGTAAAGGTTCTACAGAAAAGGTAATGTGCAGCTCTTCTGAATTTCGAATAGTCTTCAAGATCCTCTGTTCCGATGATCTGATAAATCGCTTGATGAACACTCCTGCTTTTTTAATTTAGTTTTCAGCAAGCTATAAATTTGACTTTTAACTTTTCTTCTCAGGTAAACCATCCAGAGAGGCTAAGCCTTTGGGGGAATGTAGATAACCGAACACATTATGTCATAACTACGAAGGCTTCATACTCATCGTTTAAGGCTTTGGTCAAGGATACCGTAGGCTCTGTAGGCAAGTCCATTTTAAACAATGCAGATGGTAGGTAAGAAACTGCTGTGCTCGGCTTCTCTTTCTTCTGTATATGAATCTGCAGACTGCAAAATTGAAACAACTGCAAGTGGACTTGGATACTTTTAGGCTTTTAGCTGATTCAGATGCTCGTTAGCGTTAGGTCTTGTTAGCGGAAGTGTTGCTGAATGTTCACCCAAAAGCAGGAAAATTTGTCAAGAATTTAATAGTCTTATGAAAGGTTTAGAAAGTTTTGTTGTCAAGTGTTTTCAAGAATCAAGTCCTGAAAACAGGAGGTCGGATTCTTGCATATCAACGGCAACATATCCCCGGTGACACCCAAGTCTTTCTTCCGAGGGAAGGGAACGAAACCCCTCTTCTCGCCTCTAATTAAATTTTGACTTGGCAACATTGAAATAATATTCTATTTTGTTCAACACCATTAACAGAGTTTGGCACTGATTGTACATTTTCCCCTTCCAACATACTAAACAAAAGAATAAGTATCTGATTTTTACAAATATGTAGACCTTCACTCAATTTCTTCATATATTACAACTGTACTAGTAGTATGTTTCCAGTGTCCGGAGGAGAGCGATGTTTCTTTTCGCCATTTGCAACGCAAAGTCGAATGTTCCTGAACAAGCGGTCGAAGGCCTCTCCCTGTCTGATTCCTTCTCCCCCCACGCCAAAAATAGTTTGGAAGTAACCAATGTGGATATGCAATGAAGCATCTTTCACACTACGAAATCCGTAATAGATGGGAGGAGCTAAATCTGTGTTGCTGCTGGTTCCCAGAATCAAGGCATTCAAAATCTGCTGTCTCAGATCCTACAGAAGAAGCTGCAGGGTTGTATAAATCGTCCCCTCTCACGGCAACAAAACCGTGATGAGTCCCACGAGAGATGGGTAGGCTACCGCCACCGTCACAATGCTGCAATCCCAATGTCAGAGACACCCCGCTTCCACTTCCAAATCTCCCCAGCTCCGGCATCTGGTACGCAGCAGCTGCTGCCATATACCTCTCATTGTTCCTATCAGTCTGAACATTTGCATCAGAAAAGATACCACAGTCTTCCATACCAGGCCTTTGCCCCTCTCTAAGCTTCACGAGCCCGTACTCAGCTTCAGCTTCGTGACGAGTCACATTCTGGAAACTGGCAGCCCCCGCGGATCCAGCCATTTCCACGTCATGGAAATGGTTGGATTTGGAGTCCATAAATTGTCCAGTGCTGCATCTCTCAGTGCCTGTCGAACTTGCACTAGGTTGCATATCTTGTACTCCGTCTTCCATGCTCCTCGTGTTGTCACCTTCTTTTGTTTGAGGTGCGTTCTCAGATGAAGAGTTGGAATCCATCTCGGCATCACCAGCCTCTTCTTTGTACATCTCCTCAACCATGGGCTTCCAGAGACGCACTCGTGCATTTATAAACCAGTTTGAGACCTGTGCCGCAGAAAAAGAGTACATGAATTTTCAGATATCGAGTTATTTCAAATTAAACTGTAAACATTGTACTCAATGATCGATTTTCGTTATAAATGTGATTGTTTGTTTATGCAGCATTCTTGTTGCTGCAAGAACCTGCAGAATGAAACAATTGTCCATATCCTAATTCAGTAGAATTTAGCGAGGATCAAAATGGTATACGTATTAGAGTCGAAAAATAATAGATCTTACTCTCTGTTATGTATGTATGTGGTACCTAAGGAAAAATGCTATGTAAAACACGATCACTTCGTCATTACCTGACTTCTAGTCAAGCCTGTCTGCCTTGCTAGCAGGATCTTATCAGAATCCTTGGGATAGCTGGAAAATATCGATATTAACATTAAATTACGTCAGGAACTCTGATATATTTCGATCAATTAAGCTTTCTGGAAAATAAATTGAGAAAAGAGTTGAAGTCAGGATTTACGGATGAAGGAAATGCTCAAATAGCCATGCCCGCAGAATTGAGACAGAGCTTTCCGGCAAACCTCTTTGTGGTCTCCATGGATGTTGTTGCATCATGCCAAGCTGCTGAAGGGCCCTCTGCTGCCTGAGATGCTGGTCCACATAACGGAGGCGAGATATTCCAACTCCTTTCATGCTTCCTGAGGCACCTTGCTCCCCAAGGCTTTTACGGGTTGCTTGTATCTGGCCTGTGATTGCATCACGTAAGCACCGAAAGTGGCGTGAAATAGTCTGCAAGGCTACTGCTGTGTACGGTTTAGCTGACCCACCTCCCGCTATCACATCAAATGATGATACAACAATCTGCATCTGATGATAATACTGCTTGTACCGTCTGTCAACCTGTGATTGTGGTATAAACACCATTACACCTCATGGGACAAATAGGAGCTCCAATCTACCAGACAAAGGCTTACGAGAAACAACCAACCACAACCACAAACTTCCTAAAACATCCTCAAAGAAAAAATGATCTATAAATGTTTTACATAACCATTAGCTGCTGCTGATGTAAACCGCATAAATTAACAGACACGAACACTAGAAATATTATCATGAGCAACTCAGGGACCATGGAAATTTTGGCCCCAAATAATGGCATTGTCCTCCTCCTGCAACAACAGTTAACAATGGTACCTTCGGTCAATCCTGCATCTTAGACTGTTTCTGATTCTTAGCAGAACAGGGTACTTCCGTCAACTGTCAACATAGAAGGATTTGATGTTCCATCATGGTCCGTAAACATACGGCGGAATCAATAGACATATTGACAAGCAAATCATGGGAAGAATTACCCCAATATTTTCACATAAGGGTGCTATGCTTCATTCCATTGCATCCCGTTCAATTTAGACACATAGGAAACCTTAGAATAGTCGGAGATAATTCCGTTGGGAAAAGGATTAAAAGTCCCAACTTTTTCACATGTCAGTCAAACACAATGCAAGGCTAGAGGTGCTTCAACTGGTAAGATGGAGGATCAATTAATTCCCAGTGAAAACATCACTTAGACATGAAAGGTTATACTCAGAAATCAGAACTCTTTGAAACTTTTGAAACTTCATCTTCATTTAAGTATGTCTGAATCGAAGAACAAAACTGAAATGGAATCGTTACCAGATGTTGGTTTATCCATCAATGCATCACTGTAAGACTACATCATTAATCAGTTATTTTCAGTTGGAACAATCAGATATTGACAGAAGCTCAACATCAAAATCATTAGCAATTTGTTTGGTTTTGCTTGAGTAGACTGCTAGTGCATATCTTGTTCCTTTCGTATTTTGTATTTTTCAAAATTAAGGAAACATATCATTGATCCTTTCGGTCATTATCGTGAAACCAGTAACTATGAGCCTAAGAGAACAGAACAATATCATGAACATAAAAGCATACCGATCACTGGTAATAAACATGCTACATAATATCACCTGCCTAATCATGCACACACATCACACACATGAAAAATGATAAAGGCAGGTGACGTAGCCATCTAAACTGCAAACAAAGCAATCATCACAGCATAGAAAGAATGAAGACGAAAGGATACTGCCAATCCAATTTGCAACTAAAATTGATTTTAAGCTCTTAACATTATGACCAACTGATGAGACAAGCAAGATTGATCATATAATTAACTCATAGAGAGACATAAAACTATATGCATTGCTCGTACCTCATCTAGCATTGACAGCAGCTTCGTCAACTTGCTTTGCAACTCTTGTTTCTCGGCATGTGAAAGCTCACATGGTGAGTTACTGGCCGACTCTTGAGGGTTTGAAGATACTCCACTCTCCAAATCATTCTTTGATCCATCATCTCCCTCCTTGAAACTCTTCTGATGATCGTGTGTGCTTTGGTTCTTCTCTCTATCATGTTGCTTAAGTGCTTTCTGGACATTGACGACTTCATCAAGCAGTTGTTGTGCTGCTTTGAGGTATTTGTTATGCGGAATGGTTCTTGCAATACTTGACATCCCATATGGAGACAAATCCCCTTTACTTGAATCTGGATTGCCTCCCGGAAAACCAGATGGCAAATATTCAACATTTCTTGGCTGCTCATCTCTAAAAGAGCCATTCCTGCCGTCACCCTCACTGGAAACGGATGGGTTAGGACTTAAGAATGAAGCAAAACCCATATTGGGATTCCGGTATGAGATAGAAGGCATTTGCATTCCTGATGGGATTTGTGTACTGAGGCTGAGGGACAACCCCTGACCTTGCAAGTTCTGTCCACCATGAAGAATACCTGAAGAACTACCCATGGGGTGCGTAACTAGCATCTCATTTCTACCCTCCCTCCATGGACTGAATCCCTGCTCTCCAATACGCGTTCCACCAAGATGCGATAGGACATCGTGCTGCTGCTGGTTGGAATCTGAACCCTCCACTGAGGAGATTACTTCAATGCAGTTGTTTTGCTGCTGAGAACTCCCAGCCACTGCATCTGAGTATGACCCAGAGTTCATATACATCATCATGTTACCAGTAAGAAGAGGTGCTTCTGGATAAGAACTAGGCAAAGGTGGTTCCCTTAAATAGAGCATTGGTGTAGCATCTTTTTGATTATTCGAACCAGCATAGTAAGCTGACATAGCTCTCTCAACCCCTGAACCGGTTATATGAGCCCAACTACACACTCATCCCGAAGACTGAAAAAGGAGTAGTACTTCCATCAAAACCGTACCATATTCGAAAAACTAACAAGTAAGTTTGCAGGAAGTTCAGGAATTAAATAGTGAGTATATTATTACTCACTCACACCAGTATAAGCCAATGCATTAAAGCAAACTACTAAGAACAAGTAGAGAAAAAATTTCTACTTGGAATTCCAGGCAATCCTCATTCCTCACAGAAGAAAATCAAACCAAAACAAAATTTACTACCAACATACAGAAGCCATTATTAAGGCCCAGCAAACAGGTAGAATTAAGCATCCAAACACCAATCTTTGTATACAAGAACTGAACTTAACATACGTGATGCCGACATATGCACTTTTTAGGTTCCTGGCATTCAAAGGATTTATACAACTTTTTCAGTTTGAAAGCTTCCAATTACTTGATGATTGTAAATTACATAGAACCTCTTAAAAAGAATGAACATATCTCTCTCTCTCACTCTATATATATATATATATATATATATATATTATAGATACATGCAAACAGAATCAGAATTCAGAAATCAATCCAACAGAAGGAAAAATTAAACATATAAGAACAATATCTTTAGATAAATTGATGATAAGAACAATAAAAATAAATCTACTAACTCTGTGTACTTCCAAAAAAGCAATTAATGGATCATCATTTTAACAAACAGAAAGAAAGAGAGAACAACGGAACCGGAGACAAGGAGAAATTCATGAGTGAGACAGACAGAGAGCAGCTAAAAGATAATTAAAGTAAAAAAAATAAAAATGGAAGAGAAAAAAAATACCTGCAAACCCTTAAGAGTTGTGGGTTGTGTGGGGAACAGAAAAGTCTTAGAGAACATCACCCGATCGTCTCAGAACCAAACTTTCCGATCCCAACAACAACAAGTATATTTATTTAACAACACAAAAAAAGACAGAAAAAAGAACTTTAGTGTGTTGGAAAATAATTGAGAGATATGAATTTCACTTTATTTTATTTTTTTGCTTTTTTGCAATCATACATATTCTCCATCCATCACTGAATCAAATTCAAACCCCACGTCAGACTCACACTCACAGAGAGAAACAAGTTTTTTCAGTTTCTACTGCTACCCAAGAAAAATGATGACTTTTCTTTCTATTTCCAGAAATGGGGTTTGGGGGGTTGTTTAAGGCTTTGGTGGGCAACTCTGCTTTTCTAATAAGTGCTTTTGCTTGAAACCCAGTTGGGAAAAGTCATTGGCTTTACTACTTGCTTCTTCTTGAATTCAACAATTGAATTCAAGGGCTAATGGCATTTGCTTAATTGGTTTGGAGGGTGAAGATCAAGTGTCTGGTTAAGGAGCTCAATCTCTAACCACCAGTTGGTGAACCTAAAAACCTCTCTTAAACCCTCCCCATATCCTCCTCTCCCACCATCTAATCTCTCTCTCTCTCTCTCTCTCTAAACAGAACAAATGATATTTCTAACTTGAACCTCTTTGGCTGTCTCTCTCATCCCTCTGAGCATGGAAGGTCTGGGTTTGCTGCAATATCCACCATATAATCATATTCTATTCTTTTCCTCTTTATTTTTTGTATTTCTATATTTTGTCCTAACCTTCTATTCTATATTTTTGCTATTTTTTATTTTATTTTTCCTTATTAAATGCATGAGGTGCACCAGTAAGCATTAGGTGCCCATATCACTGTATTTGTCGCTTTCTGCCAACTAATGTGCGATTTTTGCACTGGTGGTCCTGCCATCCTTATGTATTTATAGTTGTTTCCCATATTGTTGTGGTATTGCACATTTGTCACAATCCTCATATTCTCTTTTTGCATAATTTTAGCTATTATTTTGTTCAAGCGGTGGGGTTGAAATTTTATTTCTTTTCAAAGATCTCCAGACCAGTGCATATGTATATAAATATCAAAGGACAAATGTCAGATTTACTGATCAAATTTGCATAAACTATTTTGAGATAAAAATTAAGAAATCGATAAAGATGTATTTACACTACAAAGAAAAAATAAATTGGTATAAAACTCGTTATTCACAAAATTAGTATGGAATTCGATTATTGGGTGGGAAGGATTTTAACTCAAATATGAGTAAGATTACCGTCTTTCCTTCTAATTCAAAAAGACAATAAATCTAATAATTTGATCAAAAAAGACCACAACTTTACTCTAGCCGCTAGAGAGAAAAATAGGGTCGGGCCTTAGAGTCAGTGGCAATTCTATCTTTCCCCTCTCTTCCCTTTCCAATTTGTCCCATCTTCTAACTATCTTCATTTCTTGGTTGTGGTCTCCCTTTCGTTTTTGCGACAAGAGTCTTTGTGGTTTGCTCGCTCTCTAGCTTTGTCGAGGAGAGACTTTATAGTGGCTATGGTTTACTACTCAAACTTGAATCTTTGGTCAGCAGGTGGTTGTTTTGCACACATGTCAAAAGACTATAAGGAGGAAGCTTCGCATTTTTTTTTATTTTTTAAGTTTACTCGTAGTAGTGCATCTTTGTTGACGATTGCAAGATCATCCGACAGTGATGCATTCTTTCCTTGTGGTGCATTTGTTGTAGTTCTACAATTTGCAAAGTTTAATCCTCGTTGGTGTTATCTTTTATGTTTGTTTGATGTGTATCTTCCGTGACTAGGATTGAATTGTATTCCTGATGAGTTTGTAATTGAGAAATTTTATGTTTCTTTTAATTGGCATGTTTGACCTATTTGTAGCATATGACATATTTGTCCTTATGTACGATAAAGGCTAAATTTCTTGAATGGCCAGATAATAACTAAAAGTAAATTGCATGTTGCAAAAAAGCATCTACATAATTGTCACCCAAAAAGTAAAAAAAAAAATTAGGGCACAAACATTTGATATAATAATGATGGGGATATGATGCATTGGAGCTTGTATTGTACATATGCAAGATGACACTTGCCTAACCCACTCACAAATGTGACACTACTTATTTGTATTCCCCCACCTTTTGCTTTCTTTTTTTGATGTTTTAGATGGTAACAATGAAAAAGGCATCTCTTTTCTCCTTTATTAGGAGGAGGGAGTCAAATGACTGGACTTTTGAGATCATTGGAATTAAAAGTACAAACTTTTGAAAACTAAGTGGGACTACTTACTTGATGTCGTGTAACCAAACAAAATAAAGGTAGAAAACAAGATTAACGTGGATAAATAAGATGCACTTATGTTCTTTTTTTTTTTTTTTTTTTGGGTTTGCCAATAATTACTTATGTTTTTACTAGTTGAAAAAAAATTATTCTAGTACTCAATGTAATTCAACTGTTTTTTTAAGATGAATTGTCAATTTAGTCCTTGAATTATCACTTGACTGAAGATTAGGTTCCTAAACTATTTTTTTTCTAAAAAAAAAAAAACCGGTCCTTGAATTATGAAAATCTGCCAATTACATCCCTAATATTACATTCGAATCTACTATTTTCAATTTTTCGTCAATTTAAGTCACGTTACTTGCATGTGATACACATTAGAGGGTTGATTGGTAATTTTTCATAAAGAAATAGTGTATGGAGTTAACTTTGAAGAGTAAATTAGACGTTAGATTTGTAACATACATGAAATGTTAAGGCTTTATAGGCGAGAAAAATGACTATATTACACTCTAATGTATGTCAAGTGACTTAAGAGGAATATTACACTCTAATGAATCTGTCCATATGAATTATGAATGATAATGTCAATAAACTTGCCTTGTATATAATATAAGGCCTCAAAACAAATAAAGAATAAAACATGACTTTGAAAAAATATTGTAAAAGAACCTCCTTAAGTATAAGTTGACTCATCATTATAAAATAAAAAAAATTGCTTAGTTGGATTAAAGTCAACGGACCTAAATTTATAAGCAAAATATTCAAAATTAAACCTAATGATCGACAACGAAATTGGTCTTAAATCTAATCAACCCTTTTTAATTATTTGTCACTCATACACATATTAAGATTAAGAAAGAAAGCAATAATTTCAAACTGTGAAACCTGCCTAATAACAGTTTGAGTGAGTTAGTTTGCCCATTTTCTTGGCTGATGGGTTAAAACAATGTCAACCTGAAAACTATTGGGTTGACCAATAATTTGGAGTCTAACCCAACCAACCCACCCAATGCAACACAAGAGTTTAATCACCAGAGTCTTTGTTTCTCAATGAAAGCCTTTGAAAATGTTTCCATATTTATTCTGCATGCCTATCATGGTTTAGGGTTTAATCATAAACTTAAGTCTCATTTGCCTATAGACATGTTATAAACACCAAATTAGCCTGTGTTTTTAATCAAAGAAAGGTGGAGTTAAATACGACTTATGAGAAAGCAGTATAGAATGTTAGGAACAGTCGTTCACATGTGTATGAGTAACTGTCAGTCGTTGATACATGTAAATTTCACAATACATTAATAGTTGACAACTTGACAATCAACATTCACCTGCATGAGTAATTGTCCTTAGCATAACAATTAGACATTATGGCAAATTGTGAGTATGACCTATGCAAAATCAGCCATTCGATTGTTAGTGTAGAAAATCCTGTATTACTTATCCCATCCTAATACAAGTTCCACTTTAATTTGGCTTGTAAAGCATGTTTACTATATAATCACTTCAACATGTGCTTAATAATATATGATAGTTTTCCATAGAAACCCTAATAAGGCAAAATTGCAAATTAGGCCCCATGTACAATTTCACCCCATTTCAATTTCCTTTGCAAAAAATTATACTGCCCAGACGTCAAGAACCCACTTGCTAATTTTGGTATATAATAATTCCATATTTCTTCATAATGAATTTTCAAGTTGTTAAATTAAACAAGGTGAGTATAACCCACATTGTTTGGCTTACAAGATGAAAAAACCCAACGAAATTCAATAATTCTAACTTAACCTCATAGTTCATGCAACAACCTCATCTAACGAGTTTTTCTACTTTGCACTGGAGTATGATATCAACAAAAACTCTTGGTTATTAGATCATTAACCGCGCATTTAGTCCTTCATTATAATTTATATGACATACACTTGAAGCATGATAAAATTTATGTTAGCTCAATTTTAAAATCGTCTTCATCTAGTTCTGTACCACTTAATACTATGGTCTAGTATATTTCTATTCACTTCTCAGTGAAAGGTTTTAAGTTCGATTCTCTCCAAATGCGAATTTGAACAACATTATTGTAGCCCATTGTAAGTTTTAGTTCACTCCCCTAATTATTAATAAAAATAATATCGTTTGTTAAAATAAAAAAGGGGGTAGTTTGGCAATTATGAAAACTTTCTGAGGCTAGGTCAAACATGGGGTGTCACATTCTCTCTTTCTGTGATAGACCTTCTCTCCTTTTGTGAGAGCTTCTTCCCCCAGTCTTGGTGAGGGTCTTCATCTTGCCCACCTTCTCTAGTGCCGACTCTAGCTTCGGCTGGAGTCGGTCGCCCCTTCTCCCTTCCTCCTCCTGTTTTCTCCTCCTTTTCCCTTCTCTACCAGTTCCTTTCTCTTCTTCTTCTTCTTTCCGATCTGGCCAACACCACCACCTTCTCACTGTCTCTTCTTTTCTAGCAATGTTGTTTGTGGGTTGTCACGAACTTCATCCTAATAGTTGGCTTCTTCCAACCTCTTGCTGGCTATCCTTTCTTTGTGGTTGTGCTCGGGACGTTCATCGAGGTGAGATGCTGTCTTCTTCTTCTTCTTCTTTCCGATCTGGCCAACGCCACCACCTTCTCACTGTCTCTTCCTTTTCTGGCAATGTTGTTCGTGGGTTGCCACTAACTTCATCCTAATAGTTGGCTTCTTCTAACCTCTTGCTGGCTATCCTTTCTTTGTGGTTGTGTTCGGGACGTTCATCGAGGTGAGATGCTGCAATTACTCTGGCGATGCTTGGCTGTGGATGAGGACTTGATCGATTCGCGATCGGCGGCAACTAGTGTAGAACTTTCTTGTGTTTGTGGTCTTTTGTGCGTTTTGGGCTTCAACTTCTGGTTGGCCCTTTGTAGTTTATTTTTTGGCCTTGTGGTTTGCTTGTTTATGTGTGTTGTTTGGGTCTTGGGTTTGCTTATGTATATGTTTTAGTTTGTAACAAAAGTGAAGAAGCATTTTTTCAAAAAAAAAAAAAAAAAAAAAAAAAAAAAAACTGGGTGTCAATTTCAACGGCTTCTGCCTTTTGGCAACAATGGCAGGCAGGCGTGCAGCGCAGGACATGACACTGGGCAGCCTTGGGATTGGGAAGCTGGGCAGGATCTATGGCTCGATAAACGACGTACGCGATTGGATGAGACGTGTTAAGAAAACGCCCAGAATCTGTGTCGTTCAGGGTAGAGTGATACGTACGTAGGGGTCGTATTATATGATTTAATTGTTTTTTTATTTTTTTTGGTAATTTTTCTGACAACAGATATGGGAAAACCAAATGCGTAATCATTGTACTTGTAGTTGTAGGTCATGTCCTAAACCTTTCCATATTTCTGTTTCGACCCACTTTGTTTTTTTCATGTCATGTCCTAAACGAAAATTAAATTTTCATGTATGTCTTCGTAACAAATATATATTTTTTTTTCTTTTGGTATTAAATTTATTATTTGCTTTTCTCCAGGAAAAGGTTAATGATGAAGAAAATTTCTTGGCCAAAGCCAATTTTTCGTTCTTTTTAATTTCATGATATTCTATCATACTAGTTCTTGCCCATACTATGACCGGAAAAAAAAAAAATCCATTAGACAAAAAATTTTACCCTCCAACCTAACAAGTTTAATATTAATTTTTGAAAATTAAGATTAATAATAACTAAATTCTAAATTTTAAGTCCCATCTTAACTGTTGCATTTGTAGGTTTTAATGCGGGTTTTTTCTGCTAGATATCAAGGTGCGTTTAGGAGGAAAAAGAGGAAGGAGAGTATGAAACAAAAGCTTGAAAGTAGAACAACTAAAATGTGCTTTCAGCATCCTTCCTTTACTTTTCGTCATTTCTCTTTTCTCATTTTTTTTTTTTGAACAAAACTAAAACTGAAAATGATATGATTATCAATCTAAAAATGCATATGTTTAATACTTATAGTAAAGTAAAGAAACATCTCATAAAGTAGTTGAATATGAAATTAGAGGAAGTTTTATTTTATTTTGATAAATTACAACAATCTCTAAAATCTAAAATGTGAGAAAAATAAAAACTTGATATAAGTCCAATTTTTTAAGCCAATAGTAGGAATAGTCCAGTTTATTAAAATAAGTCCAATTTGTTATATTTAATTATTTAATTATCAATAGTTATCTGTTCAATGATAAGATTTATTATAAAAATCAAATTTCTTCTCAATTATCTCTTTGCTTATTTCTTTTTATTTATCTTTTTGTTATTTCTCGTTCTTCCTCCTACTTTAAACCCCATTTATAGATTTTATTTTTAATTTTTGTAATCGACCTATATCACAGGTTAATTATATTTATCTACCTATATGACAAATTCTTTTTTTATAATCAACCAGTCACAGATTAATGTGTCTTACTTGTAGGTATGTTATGTTTTTTCTACCCTTTAATTAGGTTTCATATCTCACGTGTAGGTATATTATATACATTCATATATTTGTTACTTGAGTTAGGGTAGAATGTTTTGCAGATAAATTTATTTTAGTATATTAGTTTTTTTGTTACAAGATATTAAATATCTTCTTTTGGAGTTGGAAAATGCATAATATTAGAAGATTTTAATTGATTTTTAATATTTTTAGAAAATATAAAATGAGTATAAAAGAAATAAAAATATATAATTAGATAACTGGACTCACTCCTAAAAACACTCTACATTTTTAGACCTGGATCTAAAAGCCCCATAAATAAATTGTGGAAAGAGTTCTAAATAAATGTGTCAGGATCATAATATTCTTAGTTATCCATCTCTTTGACATGCATGCATGTAACTCAAGTGATGAAATGTATCATGCATTAATATTCTATGAAGTGGCATTATCATGGGCCACCCTTGCCCTCATCAACCGTAGTTCGGCATCCTTCTTCCCTTCCTTCAGTCTCAATCAAATGTGTCAATCATTTGATCGGATGGACTTCACTTGGAAAAAGCTTTTAGTTAAGTTCATTTAATTGCTTTTGTGTTTTCTCAAGTCATGTGACTTCATGTTTTAAGAAAATAATAAAATGTAGATTTTTGTTCTCCTACGCACTTCTATTAATTTTTTTTTTCTTCTTATTTTGTTTGATTACTGTTGTCAAAGATAAAGAGTCTAATGGTAATCCTTTTCAATTATAAGTGAGAGCTTTTATGTTTGATTATCGTCAAAGGCAAATTTGAACCACATTACTGCTAACTCATTGTGAGGCTTAGCTTACTCCCCTACCTTCTTAGTGTAGATAATATCGTCTGTTAAAAAAAAAAAAAGATAAAGAGAGGTGTGAAAAACTAAATATTGTGTGTGAAAATTTACTCTCCATGTCTTATGGTTAAATGATAAAAAACGTATCATTTTGTTCTCTTACATACCGTTGTTTAATCATTTTTATTGTTTTTGTGAGATTTATTCAATGTAATTGCCGTGAATAAAGAGGATTGTGTAAAAAACTGAAAATTGTGTGTGAAATCAGCTCCTCATGTTTTATTGTTTGAAGTTCAATAAAAAAAAATGAGAATTATTATTGACACTTTAAAAGTTTAATTTGCACTCCTCATAAGACTATTTTTCGTTCTATATATGAAAAGTTTGGCGTGCGAATAACAATGTTAAAACATGTTGTACATTGTTGTTATTGTTGCACATTGTTGTCACGCAATGTTGTTGTACTTGTACATTATGTTTCATATGAGAATGATGTTTATATAGTAATGTCTGAAAGTACTTATAAAAAAGCAGCATTGAGATCGATTTCTTATACTTGTAAAGAACTCGATCTTGAACAGAGGCTAAAAAGACAAACCTTATCTTGTGGGTTATTGGGCAAAGCTTTACCATACTTGGACTTGATCACGAATCCAATTTCTTAGATGAGTTTAGCATCTTGACACCTTCACTTTGCTTCGGTATAATTGTTTGCCTTTCAAATTTGCTTGTACGAGAGATGAATATGCTTCGGTACTCTATTCCCACTTTGGTTGATTGTGACATATCAAAGTTGACTTAGCCAACCACAACCATGTTATCCGTAAAATTATATGATTCGATCAGAATTAAAGATCTTATCGCTCACATTTTTGCTTCATGATTTAGCGATTTATGTTAGCTGAGGGTCGTGATATTAATCTCTCTTTGTTGTCAGAACAAGGTGATCCCAGTGCAACAAACGCCGAAATCAACGAAAAAATTGGGATTATTCAACGGTAAAACCTTAGAACAAAAATATCAAGCCTCAAAGTTTATTTGATAATATGAATAAGATGAGACAAATCTTAGTTATTTGAATAGAAAAAATAAACCCTAATTTGTAGGGCACCATTGAATATTTTTTTTTCCGATAAGAAAAGGCAAGACACCTTGAATTTACTAAACATAATAACAAAATTATAAACTTAATAGGATGGTGGATTTCACTGGTGGTTAGAGCTTTTCTAGTCAATTCACTATGTTTCAGGTTCAAATCTTACCCTTACATTTTACTTACATTTTAGTGTAAATTAGTGTAGAGTATAGTTTATGCTAAAAAATTAATAACATATAAAAAATAATATCCTAATAAATACTCATTATTGTTGTAGGCCTATTTGATTGAATGATCTAGGGTTTAGAGAGAGAGAGAGGGGTTCGGCAATATTGAGAGAGAAGAGAGATTGATTTAATTGTGAGGCGTCTTTGATTCACCCTATTGTGCTTTTATTTATAGTAGTAGCATAGGTGAAAACCTTTGCCTTTAGGATTACAAAATTGAATAGGTAATCTACTCCTAATAGGAATATAAGATACATTCCCAGATTCCCTAGGATTTACACAATCACATTCCTATTCTAAATATGACTGCAACACTCCCCCTTAAGTGTGTAAATACTCAACAAACCATCGCATCAGATCTTCAACAAATCAGGTAGAATAGTTGATGAAGTCATCGGCATAACGGGTGATCACGAGTCTCAAATTTAAGTGAAGTATGCATTTCTAGTAAAACTCACAAAACCTCGCTATGGTAAAACCCAAGGCATGGGGAAAACCTATAGACTAAGAAGAAAAGTGAAAAGTATGCATAATGTCTAAAAACGAACGTCAAAAGTGGACGAAGGTAGTAAACTCAACGGAGTATGATCATCCCAGGATGAGTGCCTCATTAAAACCTCATTAGGTAGCAAAAACCTAGTGGGAAAAATGCTCCTAATGGTAGGAAAAAGATACATTAAGATCATATGAGTATGCATCTAGATACTCCTCCTGAGTTAGACATAACTTCTAAATAAGAGAACTACAAGAGATTCAACTCAAATAATTTACGCATACCGATTCCTTGGACGAGCTTCTGAAATGTAGACTTGGGCAATGAATTGGTAAAGAGATCGGCCAAGTTGTCTCGGGAACGGATTTGCTTGACTTTAATGTTCTGATGCTGCTGCTATTGGTGTGAGTAAAAGAATTTCGGTGCTATGTGCTTGGTGTTGTCTCCCTTGATATATCCATTCTTCAACTGCACGATACATGCTGCATTGTCTTCAAAGATTGTTGTAGGAAGGTCAACGACTGATGTAAGACCACTAGTGCTTCGAATACGTTTAATAACTTCTCTCAGTCAAAAGCACTCACGCGATGCTTCATGCAGGGCAAGAATCTCAACATGGTTAGACGAAGTCGCAACTAGCGTTTGCTTGGTAGACCTCCAAGATATAGCGGTGTCTCCAATGGTAAAGACATAGCCTGTTTGAGAACGTGCTCTATGTGGGTCAGACAGATATCTAGCATCTGCGTAACCAACAAGGCGAGAATCAATCCGAGGGCCACAGAGGGCGGCAACACTTGGAGATTCGCGGGTATAGAACAAGCCCAAATCCGTAATACCTTTGAGGTAGTGGAAAATGTCTTTAACACCATTCTAGTGTCTGCGTGTGGGCGCATTACTGTATCTTGCCAAAAGATTCACAACGAAGGAGATGTCGGGTCTAGTGCACTGAGCCAAGTACAATAAAGCCCCAATTGCACTTAGGTAAGGAACTTCGGGTTCCAAAATCTCTTCCTCTTCCTCCTTTGGACGGAAGAGATCTCGTTAAGCATTTAGAGTCCGAGTGATCATGGGTGTACTCGAAGGCTTCGCTTCATCCTCATTAAAACGACGTAACACCTTTGGGTGTAGTTCGATTAATGTACTAGGATTCCATCCGAACAATGCTCGATCTCCAAGCTGAGACAATATCGAGTTTTCCCAAGATCTTTTATCTCAAATTCTGATTTCAAGTGTGCAGCAATTTCCTCAAGCTCTACGGGAATCCCAATGAGATTCATGTCATCGACATAAACTGCAACGATTGCAAATCCGAAATGTGACTTCTTTATGAACACGCATGGGCATAGTTCGTTGTTCACATAACCCTGACTTGTCAAATATTCA